CCATCTTGCTTCCACTTGCATCAAGCAACGTGCAAGGAACGGAAACGACCGCAATGAAGGCAACTCAGAGCATCAAGTTCTTTATCCTGAGTCGAGCACCAAGCATCAATCTGTCCACGAGGTACCCGGTACCAATGCTGGCAGTGGCAATCCACGCGACTGACGCTTGGCACAATCGGGTTTCACGGTCTAGAAGTGTGTGCACGTGTTTGTGTGGATTCGTGTTTTGCGTTTGCGTGCCTGCATGCAGTTTGTTGTGGCCTGAGCGCTTGACATCATGAGGTGCCATTCGGCAGCATCGTTTATTCGTGTGTGTGTATATACGCGCGCGTGCGTTTGTGAGTCCGTGTGTCTGTGTGTTTGTGCGTTTGTGTGGGTGTGGGTGCGTGCGGTGCGTGCGGGGCGGGCGTGCGGGGCGGGCGTGCGGGCGGGCTTGCGGGCTTGCGGGCTTGCGTGGGTGGGTGGGTGGGTGGGTGGGTGGGTCAGCGTGTGTGTGTGTGTGTGTGTGTGTGCGTGTGTGTGTGCGTTTCTGTGCTTCTGTGTGTGTGTGTGTGTGTGTGTGTGTCTGTGTGTGTGTTTGTGTTTGTCTCTGTGTGTCTATCTCGTTAGTGTGCCTTTCGCCGTTCTGGTTTGTCACGGGGTCAAATAGTATTGCTAATAATCCTACTGTAAATGATGAATTGTTTGATCCCCAACACCTTCTGCTTTTTGGTTGCCACTTACCAACATCTGCTGAATCAGGGCCCTGGGAACACCGCAATCTCTGATTTGTTTGTTCTGAAGATGAGTGATGCCAGAACGACGCACGACGAAGCTTGTGATTGCATGGAGTGGCGGCTACTTGGGCATTCCCCAAAATCTGCAGCAGATGACCTGAATCCTTGCAGCCCAGGTGATGTACCCGTCCTATGTGTCCTCAGGACTGGTGCGTCATGCATGCAGTGCCAATCATGTTAGTCTTGAGCCAGTCACAGGCGCACCGTGTTGTGTTTGGGACTTGTGCAGCAAGGTCCTTCGCGAATTCAGCATACTTTCATGATGGATAAAACATATTGCTTGAATCTGCTTCCTTGCTCTCTTGCAAGACACTGATTGAGATGACAAGCCCAACCTATCCAAGTCCCCGGCAGAGCAACTCAGTTTGTGGTTTGCTTGGATGCTAGATTAATGGCAGTACATTACCCCTGAACATAAAAAGCTAAGTCGTATGTGCCCTGAGGAAAAGGCCTGCTGGTGGTGAATCGGTACCGCTTCATCTTCGAGCGCTTCCGTGCGAAGCGCTATTTCTTCGGCGTGCTATATTTGTTCAGGACCTGCCGAAAGCGAGCGCAGATGGACTTGGTCCTGTGGTTACGAAAGGCTGAGCTATTCGGAAGATTTCCCGAGAAGTGCCTAGAGTATCCTGGAGTTGTAGGTGTTTTCATCGGTAAGAACCGACCACAAGCAACAAAGCATGGCCGCATAGTTGCAAAGGCTTGCTGAAGCTGAGCTACAGTTCCACATAGGCTGCTCGCATAGGCTGCGGCACAAACCAGCAAACAACTTGCTTAACAGCATGCAGAATCATTTGCGTAGCAGGGGGTTGGCCACAACAAACGTGATCTTCTTTGTGCAGTCATTTGCTTGGTGAAATACATCAGAATTGACAAACCATCCACTCTGAGGGAGGCTAGAACATACAAGCACCGACAATTACCAAGGGACGTGGCACAGCAAAAGCATAATGGAGCCTCAACAAAACAGCTGCAGCAAAGTGTACTTTGCAGAACACACATGGGGCTTGATCAAAAGGTCCTTGCAAGGAGTGATGTATTCGGTGACCATTCGTCTTGGCTTAAATCCCTCCGCGAAAGATTGGCGATGGAGTTCGCGAAAGAAACTTATTGTTTCGCGAAAGATTCCGCGTTGGATTCTTGGAGGCATGCCTGTGCACTTACATATTTGCAGACCCCGCTCCCTTGTAGATAGGGAGATACGCAGCACCTACACTTGCATCATTGATTCCCTGCCTGTGTTGGGAATGGTGCATATCAAAAACGTTGGCTGGGCTATTTTGGAGCAAGTTTCGCGAAAGATCCGCGAAAGACGCGAATGACGGTGACTGCTTGCACTTGACACTACGTACTGCACGCAAGTGAACTGCAGCTACCGTGTTTGCAAGCATAACTGCAGCAGGCGCAATGGCTCCAGAGCGCACGCTGCAAACAGAAGGCGATGGAGTTGCGAAAGATTCGCGAAAGAAACTTTTTTTCACGCGAAGATGGCGTTTTCCGGAAACAGGAATTTTGATCAACTGCCACATGTATACGTGGACAAAAAATCTTGCGAGCAAGAACTGCTTTGCGTATCGCACTTGCGATTTTCTAGATGAAGCTGCCAAAGTGCGATTCTCGCAATGCGCTTGCGCTGGACGGCTGCGATTTTCGAGCCGAAGCTCCCAAAGTGTAGCCAGCACACCCCATTCGGGCTGGATTCTCGAGCTGGAGCAGCCGGATGTAGTAGGGGTATACAAACCCTTGCAACCCGTACTTTAACATGGAATCGGCCGGGGGGGGGGAGGGATATTGAAATTTGACGTTTCTTGTTAATTTCTTCTTTGGGTCCCTAGCCACTGTGGATGTGGGTCCCTCCCCGCCAATCTAATTTTGCAATTCGGATTATTCAGGCCGGCAGTGGGGGTCGCAGCGGCAGGCGACAGCCTCTAGATTAAAATTCAAACAAAGCGGACTGGAGCACATGGCTTGGGAGGGTTGCATGCTTGGAAGACATGTTGTATTCCATAACATGTTTCTGAGGAGGCTAGAACCAAAGAGTCGGTGGGGGCACCTTTTCTGTGAGGACTACATCATTTAGGTTTGACCCCCTGCCTGCTTGGCAGTGTCATTCAAGGAAATATTTGAGAGGAAGCGAGGGAAGGATGGACCGAAGGCGAGTTGCTTTCATTGACAAGCACCGCACCTGTTTGATCAGGGCCTTTCTTGCGGGCACGTTCAGTCGTTGCCAACAATCCCTCCAAGAGCCTCTCAACTTATGTAGGATTATTCAAAACAGTTCTTTCCGAAACCTGTGCAGACAACATACAGGGATGCATTCTTGCAGGATTTGCCCTTTGAAGACCCTTTGCTGTTCGAAGCTTGATGCATGCAGTTTTTGGGGAAGAGCTTTTCTGGTGTCATGTGCTTTGCAGGCCATTTCGCACGCCTTGCGAGGAACACATTTTTGGCGGTAATCCCTGTCGCGCTAGCGAGCTACCCCAGCCTTCAGATTTGTTCCTTGGCTTCGGCGTCTCGGCTTGAACGCCCAGTGCTTCGCCTTGGACGGTTGTCGCTTGTGGAGTACATAAGCTGTTTTGTGAATTTCAGCAAACCAACACACTGCCAATCCAAACCCCCGCACATGCATACCATCATGCTGAAACTGTGTGCAGAACTTGTGACCATGTGTGTGTGTGTGCGCAACAGGGTAACAGGTTCTGCCACGACTTGTCACGACCTCTTGATGAGTGGTTACTTCTGCGGCACTCGTGCTGCAAAGGCAGCAAGACAACCTCAAACTGTAGCGCTATCTTGTATGTTGACCCGGCAGCTTGCACGGGCAGTTGCAAAGGACTTAGGCCCTTTAAATTAATTTTAGACCGTGACATTCTGTTTGATTGTTTGCTGTCATCCCGTCCTCATTTTTCAAACCTGGGCCTCACATAAAGCACTTGCTTGATCTCGATTCTGAAGTGGGGCTGGTTGCCATTTTAGTCATTTTGGCAGGCTGCATCGAGCAGGCTTGCTCCTTAAACACTTGTGCAGCAAAAGAAGCCCAGAGGGGCAGATAGGTCTGTGTAGCTGCCGGCTTGTTGTTACATTGTTTGGTGAATTACATACTCGCATAGCTTTCCTTGTTCTCAACTTTGACGTGCAAACATGACTGATAGTGTTGGAGCCCGACTTTCAAACAAATGTACATGTGCTGTACACATCCATTCTCACCTCAGAACCATTGCCCAAGTGTTATAAATGCGCTGTCCCACTGCCAGCTGCAACCGAGTCAGTCACCTGTTCCCATAGCTGGAGGCTTGTTTTGATCCCTGCTTTTGGCTCAAAGGAACTCTGTCCCTAACACTCATTTGGACCTTTTGTTGGCCGCCATTCCCTTGAGGTGATGCTGGTGGGCATGATTGTGCAGGTGAAATGCTGGCCCTGGCGCACGGAGGACCGAGATGCTTCGAGATGTGTCATGCGGATTGATTCCGAGATTTCGAGATGCCTAGCCCACACGCCACCTGCAAACCCTTGAAACTCTCCCTCCCCGCAAATCACTGCACCTGCGACGAACATCACAATCAAATTCATGCTTCGCATCATACGACTGAGGCCCTGCACTTGTAGCGCCCGAAAGGCGAATATTTACGTTTGACGGCATGTTTGATATAGATGGACTAGAATTGCCGGACATTTGATATTGTGTCCACATCTCAATCCTGTCAAGCACCGCCTAGTATTGTCGGACTATGATGTTCAATCATGCCATTACACTTGATTGGTCAGAAGGAGTGAAGTGTCTCGAACGGACCCAACACTTTTCTCAAGGATGTGCAAGCTCACGGCTCAAGAGTCCAACAGGTTTGTGGGAATTGTTTCAAGCTGTGTGTTTGTTTGCTCTACAATGTCTCTAGCGATCCAACACGAACACAGCCTTGTGGAGATCCAGGTGCTGTGAGCGCAATCTCAACCTCAGGCATAGGGCGTACCTTTCAGTGACGCGCAATGCATAGCGCAGTGGACAGACAGAATTCCCGAATGCTTTGTTCGCAGTGGAGCCAACTCAGGGGAAGTTGTCAACGGGAATGGAAGCGCTTCCGGGCCATGGTGTTGATGCTTACTTTTGGACGGTGTCCAAAGTGCGACCTTCATATTGACAACCATCCTCACTCGTTCACTTGATACGATTGATGTACCATTAGCACAGTGGCTTTTGATAGGGTTCCATGATGTTTGAGTAGTGGTTGGCGAACCACCCTTGATGATTGAGTCTTGCATTCTCAGGGAGGTTTGTGACATTGATGTGCCATGTGGCATTGGCCAGGTGGCCAACTACACTGACATGCTCTTCTCTTGCGCCGTGATGCTGTTCTTGGTGTTCGCTGGCCCTGTCCTTGACTTTGAGACAGCTGCTTGGCGCAAGCTGTACAGATATTGGTCTATCGTACACGCCAAGCACGCATGCACAACACAATAATTCATTCATTTCCCCTCACAAAAGCAAAGTCGAGCAAAGGCTCCTTGCCTGACATGTTTGGGCAGACTAAGGGCACCTGCCTACCGCGGGGACAATTACTCTGCGCATAAGTAACTTTGCACAAGTCATGCTTATGCATTTCACTATATGCAAGTTATTCTGCGCGAGTCACTCTGCAGCTCACTCTGCGCAAGTCACTCATTGCAAATAGCTCCGTGCAAGCTCCTGACTGCAAATCTCTCTGCCCAAGTGACTCTCTGCCAAGTCGCACTGCGCAAGTCACTTTCCGCAAGTTACTCTGCGACAGTTACGGAGGAAATCGCTTCGCAAGTCAGTCTATACAAGTCACTCTCTGCTAGCCACCTTTGCGCAAGTCACTCTATGCAAGTCACTCTATACAAGTAACCCTGCGCAAATTACTTGGTGCAAGTCACCCTGCGCAAGTCCAAGTAGCTCTGCGCAAGTCACTCTGCATAAGTCTCTCTGCAAGTCTTTGGACACCAGTCGCAGGTCACTCTGCGCAAGTATCTCCACGCAAGTCTACCTGCGTAAGTCTCTCTGCGCAAGTCTCTGTACGCAAGTCGCAAGTCACTCTGCGCAAGTAGCTCTACGCAAGTCACTCTGCGCAAGTCTCTGCACGATACTATGCGCAAGCAACTCCTGTCCGGAATTCAGTGAATCTGCGCTAGTCGCTCTGCATAGATGATTCTGCGCAAGACTTCGCTCAAGTCATGTTTTACTCCAGTCACTTTGCGCAAGTTACTCTCTGCAAGATACCACGCGCAAGTCAGTTCAAATTTACTGCGGAGCACGTAGCGCAAGTCGCTCGATGCATTTCCCTGCACACAAGCCGGGATGCAAGCCATTCTGCGCAAGTTTGTTTGCGCAAGGCTACGCATGCAGGTCTCTATGCGCCCTTGCCACTCTGCGCAAGCTACCCCGTGCAAGCCACGCGGCGGAAGTCGTTCTGCGCAAGACTCTTAGCAAGACACTCGGTGTTAGCAACTGTCCGCAGTCAATCTGCGCAAGTCCCTTTGTGCACGTTGCTCCGCACGTAAGTCACTTTATGCAAGTCAGTTTTGTTCGAGTTGCTCGATCCGAGCAAGTCCCAATGTGCAAATTGCTTTGCGCAAGTCGCTCTGTTTCCGCGGAAGGCCACGAATGTCGCTCTAAGCAAGCCACTCCGTGCAAGTCACCCTTGCGCAAGTCACTCGTCGAAGTCGTTTTGCGCGAGTCAGTTTGGGCAAGTCGCCCACCGCAAGTCGACCATCTACGCAAGGCGTACGTAAGTCATAAGACGCAAGCAGAAGCACCTCTACGCAAGCTACGCGACGAAAGTCGTTCTGCGCAAATCACTTTGAGCAAGTCACCTGGCGTATGTCTCTGTGGGCGCTGCGCAAGCGACTATGCGTGAATTGCTCTGCGCAAGTCGGCGTGCCCAAGTCACTTTGCAGAAGTCAGCCTTTGTAATTGACTCGACCAGCGCTTTTGCTGCCAGAGTTTGCGATGCTTTCTGCGGCCGCGCGGCCATGAACTTGAGTTGAGAAGATTACTGCATTCAGGATTCAACCAAGCCAGCATTGCCATGCCGCGCGGAGACAGTGCGCATCCAACCAAACCATACCAAACCAAGAAGCCAACTCTCGCACAAAAAAGCACGAGCAGAGCGCTGCGCAAACATGTCAACATGGTCGAGCTCCTGTTCCTGCAGGCACACTCTTCTTTAGAAACTTCTGTCAGCCCGGAGGACACCTGGACACGGGAGCGCGTACTAACGCAGTCACAGCACCTACGTGACCCTACCGCGACCCCATTCTCTGAAGAACCGCCCCCTTGACTAACTTTCGCTGCTGGGGTCCCTTGCTGAGAAAATTAAACATCTCACAAGAAAGAGGCGATGTCGATGTGTGGTGACCGTGTGGTGGACAGGATACTTTCCGCCCTGTTGCTGCAAGGTCATTGATGTCAGTAGTGAAACAACATTGTTTAAGCTGTTTTCTGTCGCAAGGGTACTGGCAAGGCAAGCAGGATGATTTATTGCTGCCACTGGGAGACTGGCGGGTGGTCATGCCAACAGTAGACTTGAGGACGAGGACAAGGGCGCCTATGCGAACTTCCTCTCGTGGTCTTTTGTCATTGTCCTCGGCTTTGCCCTGGCGACTTGCTTGCAGCATTCCACTTCTCCGCTTGCCGGGAGAGACTAGCTCGCTGCGCTGGACGCTAGATGGGCGGTTGTTTGAACACTATCCCACCGTTTGGAGACCTATAAAGCAGGATGCTGGCAGCATGTCAGTTACGCCAACCCCATTAGAACATATCATTGTCCTGGGTGCCAAGATCCATCTTGGCAGACGGATTGTATGGACTTTGCTTTTTTCTTCACACTCCAGTGATGCGGCCGAGGTGACAGCGACCACCGTGGCCTTCGTGTATGTGACTAGACGGCTAAATCCCAAGAAGGCGTACCGCATTTTCCTATCGCACCACAAAAGTGCTGCTGGCAGCCTTGCCCGCTTCATCAAATGCATCATGAACAAGTGCCCTGGCCAGGTCTGGGTGTTGGCTTCAGATAGACAAATCATTTTTTCAAAGCTGATTTGTCCTAGGCTGCAAACCTGCACATGGATTTGACCATTTGTGTCATTAATCCACTTGTGAAGGGTGCGAAAAGGTTTGCACATGTGGTGCCCAGGTTCTCATAGATTGATTGTGAGTAGGATTAGGAGCCTTGCCAGTAGTTACGCACAAAAAAGCACCGTTGCAGAAAGTCAGGGCCTCGAAACTCCGCGTCTCCTCCCAGCATGCGAGCTGGGCCAAGACATTGTTTCAGTTTGTTGATGACGCGCTCCCAAGCTTCAACCAACCCAAGGTTGCGCGCTTTCTAGTCGCCGAATTCCTCCTCTGCCTGCACAAACAAATCCAACCTCAAAAACCAGTGTTCAACAATCCAAAGCCTCCGAATACCTTCAACGCCACTTCACCCGCAACTAACTTTACACCGCTCAATTGTTCGATCCCACCTCGAAATGACATTGTCACACTAAGTTGAGGAACCACCGGTATTTGACTTGAAAGGCCGTGGCCCAAGGCCAAGATGCTCCGGTTGGCCTCCACGGGGGCAGTGGCCTCTTGTGTTTGCCTTTTTTGGTCAATGTTTGCAAATTGAGACCAAAATCAGGTTGCCCAGTGAAAGGCCAAATGGACACTGGGATGCTAACTGAATTTGTTAAGATGTCACATTCGTGACATCATCTGTTACAGCAACTGTGTCAGCGATGAAAGAGTCCACAAGTTCGTGGACTGAGGGTTCCAGGATCTCCCAAATGGCTGCACACCAAGGCATTCGCCCGACAAGGTGTTCTTGGATTCGGATGAGCTTCAGGATTTGGACTCCTTGTTTGAGTGCGTTCGCAGCAGCTTGGCACATGGGATCTGGAGCTTAAAGTTTGGAAGGCTTGGGTTCGATCAATTGGGCGTGTCTTTGCGCGATTCTGGCTCAAGCCTGAGCCAAACATGGCTCAGGTCCCATGTCAGCAAGCATCCTTATGTTCGCTCCCATGGAAATGACGGCAGACAAGGCCCAACAAATGTCACTAATCAAGACTGGCAAAAACCATTTTCGAGAGAATCCCGGACCTCAACACGCACGGACCCCAACAGAACATGGATTGCTAAACATGTTATGCGAGGGCTTGAGTTCGGCGAACTACAAGGGCTTAAATTCGGCGAACATCCTGGGGCCCATGCAGTTTGTCCTTCAGGGCCAGCAATGCTGTGACAGTCTCATGCGGTTGCCTGTGATAGCCGTTGTTCGAGGTGAACCCGGTCGAGTGTTCGTACATGCTCGGGCCACGAGGTTGCAGAATTCTAAGACGCACCCACAAGATCCGTATTTAAAACCTATTTTTATAACAGGCTGTATGTAAAACCCATTTACACAGGAGGTGTTCTATTCCATTTACAGGTTTTTCCCCATTTTATAGAACCGAGGCAGCGTCTCATGGGTGGTGGTGCTGATCACCCCGGCCGTCGCCACCCGGCCATGGTGCATCGGAGAGTTGTGCACGGCCTATGTCAACAATGCGCCGCGGATGCACCCGGCACCGACCATCGCACTGATCCCGTTCGAGTCCGTCTACGGTTTCGGGGGGTTGCGGGAGTTTGCAACCCGTTTGAGAGAACGGGGAGTCTCATCTTCTGGATGGCAAGAGGTCGGTTGTTGGTTTGGAAAAATATGGTTTGCTCGGTGCATTTGTTGAGTCTGAATTTCTTTCTGCAATTAGTGTACCTACAAATTCACTTCCCCATGGTCTTTGCATTGCAGACCATTTCTGCATATCAAGCATGCAGGTGGCATCCATTTTGTTCCTTGCTTGAAGCGAGTAATCAACCTGTGCCGCTTTGATGCGAAGTAAGGATGCCTTGCATGCGCGTATGTGTATACTTGGTTGAATGGATTCGAGAATTGAAGGCAAGTTTAAAGTCGCGATTCCATGTAGGCTGCTTCAGATCAGGGATCATTGACAGGTTGCAAACACAAGACATGCTTGACAGCATATCGACACTGAGGGTAGTTCATGCGTAACTGCAAGAACCATTTAGAGAATCGCTCTGTGTGGACGTATGGGAAGGCCCTCTTTGCCAACTGAGTGCTTCCATGTTAGTCACTCCTTGATTTGTTCGCAAATGGGAACTGACAATTGCCACGCCTTGTCCAACAAGATCCACCAAGCTGCCAGCTGGAAAGACACAATCGTCAAAGCGAGGCAGACGAGTGCCTTGTCTTTTCTTTGCTGCGCGCATTGAACAATGATTGCCCTGCGTGGCAACACGCGAGGTAAGTCGGGGTCTCGATGGTCCGCTTTTGAAAACCCCACATCCAAAACAACACGCGGCAAATAACCAAAATTGATCTTGAATGCCCTCAGCAATGCAACTCATTTCGCAATTGAAATCGCAATGACAACTCTTTCGATATGAGAATGTGTACAATGTTCCACGCGTATTTCCTGCAGACCGCCTCCATTAATGCCCCTGCACAGAGAGTTCCTGAGGTGCAGATTTGCTGTGTTGCGTGCGACGGGGCCTGTCTTCTCCGCTCGCATCGCGCGCAAGCGATGGTGAATGCATGGACTTCAGACCAGTTCCAACCTCTCCTGGCCGCAGGCATCAATGAGCAGGCACGCCTTTTGGGCCGCGCCTGTCATAGTCATCCGCTGCATTTGGTTGAATCAAAGTCAAATGTGAGCTGGCTCGAAGGAATGAGGTCTGTGTGTGTGTGTGAGCGTTTGGCTGTTTCTTTGGTGAGCGTGTTGCCTGTGCGTGTGTGCGCGCATGCACGTGTGTGTGCGCAAGCTGTGGCAAGCATGACTGTGGATGCTTTTGATGCCAATCATTGCACCGGCCGCTTGTCATGTTGGAGTGAAATTGACCACTAAGAAGACCAGATTTTGTAGTCATTCGCATTGTTTACACATCAACGATAGGAGATAGCGGTCATCAATCAGTTTTTGCATCATGTATACTAGCTGGTGCAGCTGCTGGGAAAGAGTATGTCCATTCCCGCCTCACTGAAACATGTTTTGTCAACAGATGCAAAGGGCCGTTTGGGGGGCTGAGCTGAGCCATGCCCCTGCCAACCCAGAAGCAACGCTTCCGCAAGCGTAAGCTATCTCTCCAGCTATCCTCGAATCTCTCAACAGCAGGCAGGGCCTTCTCTTTGAACAAAAACACATGCGGCCCATTGTTTGCAGGCAAGCATGTAACCCTGGATTGATGCGCAGCGGCATGTGCTTGTTTTGAATGGTTTGCACTCAGAGACACTGACAAAGACATAGACAGAGACACACGCACACACAGAGACGCACAGAGACGCACAGAAACACACACACACAAACACAAACGCAAACACTAACACTAACACTAACACTAACACACATATACATACATGTTACAATATATAAGAAATATTCTGACACATTGCACCTGGAGATGAATGGTTGGGATGTCGATTTGCAATCTCAAATAATCACATTATTAAACATGCAGGTGCACAACCACACATTTATGTTCAATGCAAGCACTCTTTCCCAAAAGTAGCCTGAACAAGCTATGCGGTGCTGGTGCAGTGACTTTTACCAGCTGAGGCGCTGCCTTTCAGCCTTGACAAGCCATCTATGTATGCAGGCTTATTTTTTTAAATCTTGCGGATTGTTTTCTGTTCCAGGTAATCGAGTCGACGCTGGCTCATTTGAACTCCTTGCGGCACATTCCGTTCACTCGGCTTTCGAGTATGGAGAATCAGGAGCGGATTGCTGCTGGTGGTTCAACTGTGTTGGGGCATGCAAGTTGCAATTGCCAACAGAGCCAGCAGCCTGAACTTGAGTTTGCTTGGACGAGCTGGGGTGAACTGAGATGCATTGAAACTGTCTATGGCCAGCCCTTTCCAGGAGACTAGCATTCTGGACATCATGAAGTGCTGCGAGATGAAGCGCCGGCACTTCGTGGAGTCTGGCACATCATCACAAACTGCGCGCGTCATTATTCTGACGCACACCCAGGCTGTGGAAGCGCTCTCCACCAGCATGCTCCTCAGTGGGTATTTACGGCTTTTCAAAGCATTTCTCTCAAATGTTTAGTGGAAGTCGCGGAAAGCTTTTGGCAGCAGATTCGTTTGGGTTGGAAGAATTGAATTCAATCAGGGTGCTCGGAAGGATTTGGCTGAGCACAACGTGGAGCAGGCTGTCCTGTCAAATGTGGGCTTGAGCTGGGTGGCAGGGTCCCAGACAGTACTTGTCCAGCCGGTCAGTTGGTCAGCTGATCAGTCGGCAGCGTGGGCTGGTCGACCGGCTAGTCCCACCCCAAACCAAGCCTCAAAATCACAAGGTAAACCATACTAGATCTTCCTAAGCCATCCCTTCACTGCCCGTCAAAATGCTGAAAAACAATCCGGAACCCCGAATCCCAAATACACCGCAGCAATCCAAAATCACCCGAAGCGAAATGTCACGCACAAAAGTAGCTCCCTTAAATTGGATCGCCCTTGAGCAAGGCCTAAACGCGGCCTCGAAACCCAAAACAATCCTATGCCAGCACAATCCCACCCTAAACAAACCGCAAACCAATTAACCCATCAAAATCAACCACAGTTTATCTTGAACCCACCGGAAACTCATTCCGGACCAGCCCGAAATCAAGCTGCCCGGCAAGATGTCAAGCCCATCCCGGAGATGGCCTGGTCAGATTTGAAGCCCTCACGATTTCTCCGTGAGCACTTACAAGAGAGCAGAGGCGTCCTGGTTTGATGAGAGGTTACAAGGAGCTGCGCAAAGGTTGGTGCGCACAAATAAAATCATCAACAGAGCAGCGTTTTTGTTTCTTTCTCGCAGATGATGGATTTTTGCTCTTGGGGGGAACTCCTAAAAGTCCCCGAAGGCACTTGTGTGATACATTGTGTGCCTCGAAGCGCGTAGCCCGGTAGCATGCCAACACTGTTTAGAGTCACTTTCAGAAGACTATCGGAAGATGACAGGAAGACTACCGGAAGACTGTGTGTTTCACCCCCGATTTTCTAGAAACAATGGACCGTTTTCGCGAAGCCGCGAAGCCTTCGCGAAGCCCAGGGTCCAACTTTCATGCTCTGCCACTTCAAGGCCCAGCCGTGTCCTTCAGTGCGGCTCCGTGTCTCCTTTGCCGCCTTTCGCCTCCTTTCACATAGATTCAAGCTGATTCAGCTAAATGAGGGCACAAACGTCAGAGATGTTTGTGGAACAAATCTCCGCGAAGCCCGACGACCCCCTTCCGCGACGCCACAGTCTTGCCGTGAAGCCTCGCAAAAGCCAAGCTCGCAAACCCGGCGTAGCCTCCACAGCAGTGCATAAGGTCTGAACCTCTGTAAAAGAAACTGCTCAACTGGACAAGGGAATTTGAGGGTGATCCTTCCTAGACCCTCCCTTGTCTTTACAGCCTACCAGCTGGCAATTCGGGCAATTTCCAGGACAGACTGGACATAAAGCCCACACAGAGCGTTGGGGTTGAGCTGAGGATCCTCCAGATGTTCCTCCAGCAGACGTTGCAGGAGGGTGTTCTGGCGCCCCGGCACCGCGAGCAGCTCAGGACGGCGTTCGCCAAGGCAGAGGTGGCCGGGGCCTCGGGGCCTTGAGAGAAACGCGCGCGGCCAAAAGTCCAAAGTCTGGCCCAAGGGCCAAGACAATCAAAGAAGTCGTGGAAGTTTCAGGACGTGTTTCAATCAAGAGTGGCACGGATGGACTAGAGTCTAGAGCATACTAGAGCGCGAAGGTTGATGATCCGACCAATTTATGTCCAGTTTGCAAGCTGTCCTAAGGTTTCTGGCTGTTGGGGCAAAGGCCAGCGGGCATGCTGACACCACGCACATGCACAGGAACACGTCCAAACTACAAGTATCAGTCAGGAGCAACAGCATGATGGAATGGTTTGTTTTGCCAGAATCGGCAAACACATAGAATTATGCAAATGGTTTGAGAGGCGACGTCTTGAAGGTAAATCAATTCTCCAGCTGACTTGTTTGACAGGCGCTTTCCAAGACAGCCTGCTGCCAGGGAATGGTATACTAGAACACAAACGCGGCCAAATCAAACTGTGACAGCAGGTTGAATATAGACAAGCACAAACTCGCCAATGCAACCAATCATAGCCAGTATCTTTTATGCTTCTACTTGATGCTACTTGATGTCCAACGAGTGCTTTCCTCGCTGGTTTGATTGCAGTTTGGTTGAACACTAGCGAATGCAATGCAACGCGTAATTGGCGTGTTTTGCAGCTGCATGCTTTGACTGCCTTTTTCTGCGAATTCAACAGGGCATGAACTGTAATTCTTGTCACACTTAAACTTCCAAGCACTTGGCTGCAATTTACATCTGAAAAGTCATTGCTGGCATCTGGGCATGGTGTGATGCATGCATCTTTGGGGTGGACTAGATGGCTGGACATGAACCATATCGATTTAGATAAGTTTTAGACCACCGTCTTCGCCCTTTTGGCTGGCTCGGATACTTTCCGGAGCACCCGTCACATGTCTTCGTTTGTCTTGTCTGGCTTAACATTGTTTTGTTTTTTGCAGCCTTGGCAAACAAATAATATGTTGTTCTTTTTCCGGAAGCACTGCTTTTTAACTAAGATATGCACTTTGCAGGAAGCACTCAAGTCTGTGGGTGTTATGCCAGGCATTGTGCCTGCCACTATGTAAATGCGCGCTGCCTTTAATCCCCCCTGAGAAGCAAGCAACGTTGGTCTTTTCCCGTGAAATCATAGCGAGTTTTTTTTTCTTCTGCCAAGAACGCCGGAGAGATTGGCAGAGGGACGTCACCAGCCAAGAGGCCGCAGGAGAGATTGCCGAGCGATTGCGCAGAGAAATGTCGCAGAGAACTGCTCAAAGCAATGTCCCCAAGAGATTCCTCGGAGAGATCGCACGAGAGATTGCAGAGAAGTTGCGCAGAAAGATTGCTCAGAGAGATTGCACATGAGATTGCGCAGAGGGATTCCCCAGAGTGATTGCAGGTGAGATTGCGCCGGAAGACTCGCATGCGCAGGTTCAATTGAAATGAGACTAGGCTCTTCTAAGGTGGCACGGCAGGACAAACCTCCTAGCGCGCACGCTTCCGACGTAGACTCGCATTCTTCTGCACGCTATAGTAATACCGCCAGCATCACGAAGGGTTCTTCCGCTGGAGTTGTTGCATGAGCTTGTGCACGCAGGCAATTTGCAGCAAGTTCCCACGAGAACTTGCCTGAGGAAATGCGTGTAGAGAACTAGAAAGAGATCGCAGAGATATCACTCAAAGAAATAGGTCAGAGACATTGCCGGATACGAGGCCCCCACTCATGCCTTTCATCTCGCAGCTCTGGCCAGAGCACTTTAGCATGCGCAGTCAGCTCTGGGGGCTCCGAAAAGGTTCCGGCGCCATTTTGAGCTTAAGGGGGTCCTCGCCAATGGCACGGTCTGGGCGCTGCGGTGCATTAAACGGCCACACTGGCCATGAGCAGCTTAGGGCAACACCCTAATGAAAGCGCGCGAAGCAGTTGTTGCAATATATGAAACATGGGTGAAACTGGGCAGCGGTGCTAGACTTCCAGCAGAGTACCTCTCTTCAATCTGCCTGGGGATTTCCTTTGCAAATCAATCAGCGAAAAAGATGCCCCTGACCGCTCGAGATCCGGAAAAGGCGGGGGGCCAAGGTAATCATCCTGCTGCACGAAGGCATGCTTGTCGACCCAGAATTTGCAGGCACGGGCGTGCCGGTGTTCGAAATTGCTCATGTTGTATATTGGCACTTGGCTCGGAGACCCCTTGGCGCATCGGGCAAACGTGAGCATCTCATCACTCGGCCACCCCAAGCCTCTCCACAAAGAACTTACAGCCCTACCCAAAGTACGTGATCGCGGAGTCCTGTCAGCCGAGGCATGATGCTAAACATCCAGGAAGAAGATGGAATGGATGGCTCCGCCAGTGCCAGCGTCGGGGTTTCCCTCAGCATGGGGAAGTCCTTGTCTAATGGGAGCGATCGAGCTACCAGGAAGGGACTGTGCTGGCATTGCGCAGACGATTTCAGTCATGTCTTGGGTGACCGGAGCATTTGCTGTATGTGCCATGCAAATACATATCTGATGCTTCGCGGTCGGTGAAAGATGGAGGTTGGGGGCGGACAAAAGGAAACAATCGCAAAGGAGCGAAACGCGGGATGCTCTGCGGATTGAGCAGAAGAACAGGGCAGCAAAGCACATCGTGTTGTGGGATGGCACGGCATAGGGGACACATGGATCTGAGCGCCAGACTGTCGGTAGGAAGAATTTGAAACGAGGTAACGCGCGAGCTGGTGATTTGGGAATGGGTTTGGGAATGAGACCTGGGCCCGAGGCCAGGGGAAGGACTTGCAAGTGAGATGGGAAACCACGCGAGGCTCAAGGGACGGACTGCGAAGCTGGGTGGGGCCGGAGGGGTGGACGTGGGAAGGCGCAATTCCGGCAGAGGCGGACATGGGATGTAGCCTTGGCTCAAGCGCATGGCTACGTTCAAGGAACTGTGCCAATAGGTGCCAAACTGCGAGCGGGCAAGATGTTCCTTTGTTTGCCCTTGTCAAGGGTGGAGCTTTGGCGGACGCGCAAGCTTGGGACAAATCGAAGCTACGTTGGGATCATTTTACTGAACTTGTGTCAAGGATCTTCAGGAAAGTTCTGCTTTGTGACTTCAGTGGCATTTGCTTAGTTTTCAGGGCTTGGAGGTTGTGTGCGGTTTTGGTAGTAGGCCTTGTTTGTTGCCTGAAAAAGGTCCGCCCTACACTCCTCCATCCACCCGACCCGTAATCCTGTCATTTTGAGAACAATGTCCGCCACTCAAGATCGATAACCCCCAAAGCATATTATATTTATAAGGTCGTACTGGTCCCAGTGGATGCCAATTGCAGTGCCACCGCAAAACATTAAACGTGCAATGCTTCGCACACACACACACACACGATGATCTGAGTTTGAAACATTGGGGGGGGGGTGTTGTTACTCATGCAAATCAAAATAAGGAAGGGCAGTTTGCGATTACATTGTGCAAAGACCACTATCATACCATTTCGGGTATGACCTTGCACTAAAGCTGAAGACATTTAGCAACATTTCTTAATTATTCGGGATCCTGGAAGATGTCCGCATTTGCATTGACAATTGATACTGGAGATGTCCCATGCGCTCCTTCATTGCTAATCCCTTCTCAATGCTAAACGTACCCCGAATACTAAAACCGACTTTTGAAAATCCCAAATCCGGGAATAGTACTTTTAGAGTAGCTAATACTAAACCAATTCTAAAGTTGGTATTTTCCTGCCCGTGCCCAAATCCAGTTCTATTAGGGGGACGACCCGGGAGTATGTTTCCTTACGACGGCTGTGCTACAAAGTTGCGACTTTCGAGCCGGAGCTCCGGGAGTACGGTTTTCCGAAAACGAAACGGGGAGCCCCTAATGCTAAAACCGGTTTTCTCGGGGGACCCACTTAGTATGAGGGAGGGGGGGGGCGGCGGCTTAGCATCAGGGGGAAGGGATTAGTGAGTTGACTCACTCCATTTAGCATTGACCGCAGCTTCCAGGAGACCCCAGCTTTGGCAGAGTCTTGTCACTGTCAGTGCTGACTCCAGCTTCACCTTCCCAGGGCACGAGTTCTACTCATCTCTGGAGCCTCGGTCCGTTGATCGTTTGATCTTTGGCGCATCTGATCTTTCTGGTGGAATGGCAGCCTTCCCCATTCAGAACCAACAGCCCCTTTCTGGTCCTCACCCAGTCCCGCTTGTAAGCATGAAACCTGGGGGACCCCTCGAAACCCTTCAAGCGTTGAGGGTGTGTGAGACTTGCTCACAAACCAGGGCAGCAGTGAGCGGGCGCCTTTTTCAGTCCTCGCACTGCGCTAGGCGCTCGCCAGTTGCTAGATGGGTTGCTGGTTTGGGAAATCTTACGCAGCTGTCTTTCCTCAAGAGAACACAGAGAATCACAAATCGGGGGAAGCTTTTCTTGCGGGGGGCAAACTGGTTCCAGAAGCTGTACTTTCGCCCTCAAGCAGTTTGGGTGGAAACTCGGGCTGGGAAACACTTTCCGTTGATCAAAGCAATGTCGATTTCGCGAACAGTCAAGTACATTGAGTTGATCCTGCCACATTTGGGCATATCTGAGTATGATCTGCAGCTTGGGAGAGATCTCCCTTTTACATGTCTACGTCGGAGGGAAGGACACGGTGTTTTGTGGGTGATGTGGTGTCTCTCCGCTGTTTGAAGCATTGTTTCAGTACTAGTACTCGCCGTGGAACATGATCAAAGGCCCGTTTCAAAGGAAGCAAAAGGCCTTCTGGGAAAAGAAGCTGTCTTTTCTCATGCAGACTGACCCACCCACAAATGGAAACCGATGCCTGAGGCAGCACAAGGCCTGGGCAGTGGCAGTGAGTTTGAGCACGACGGCCCGAAGCTGTGCGACGCCTACAAAACGATCTTTAAAAAGCGTCTGGGCCAAAAGCGAAGCTCATGGGAAGGATGTGGATCTGCAAGACAAACATCCCCCCCAGAAAGTTCGACTCGGAAACTGCAACAGCAGAAAAGAAATACAGCTTTAAACCCGACCGACCAGGAATTTGCACGAACAAGATAGTGCTGTGATCCGTAGTTGTCATTTGTTTGGTTGTTTGTTTGTTTGTTTGTTTGTTTGTTTGCTTGTTTGCTTGTTTGTTGGTTTGTTTGTTTGTTTGTTTGTTGTTTTTGTTTGTTTGTTTGTTTGGTTGTTTGGTTTTTGTTTGTTCGTTGGTTGGTTGGTTGGTTGGGTGGGTGGGTGGGTGGTTGGATTGTTTGTTGGTTGGTTGGTTGGTTTGTTTGTTTGTTTGTTTTGTTTGTCTCTGTTTCTGTCTCTTGTTCTGCCTCCGTCTGTTCTATTTGTCTCTGCCTGTCTCTGTTTGTCTCTGATTTCTCTATGTTTCTGTGTCTCTGTGTCGTGCTGTCTCTGTGTCTGCGTCTCTCTCTCTCTCTCTCTTTGGTTTGCATAGTTGATTGCGTCTTCGTTTGTTCTTCTTGGGGGGTATTGGGAGGTTTTCCCGTTTTCTTCGAGAACGTCCTTGTCCCAGCCTGAACGGGCGGGCAGGCTGGTTTGTGAGGCCTACTGGAGCCAGTGTGTCCACGTCTTGTGAGAAGCAACGCGTATTGGCGGACACAAGTTATTCTGGGTTCAACTGAATGCGTCATTTTCCCAAGCTTCAGTTGAAGATAGCATGGCACTTGCTTCTGTCAGAAAAAGAAAAAAAGAAAACTGCACTAGTAGCTTAGAGTCTTAGAGTTGTCACCCGCGCTAAGCCAAGCCAGGCTTATCAAACATGTTTCACTCCACTCGATCACCTGCGCTTGCACGACTGAGTTTGCCCGTGTGTTTGGACCACTTGGACGTTCTAGATCGGAAAAAGCAACCATTTCTGTGTGATCTCTTGACCTGACATTTCTGGACCAGACAAAGTGGCAATTCGATTTGTAAAAATGACATTAGCATTACACATTGCGTATTCGATGAAGTGTCAAAGGACGTTTTTGCTGGCACAGTGATTGGAAGCCCTGATAATTCACGCCTGAGCCAATTAATCTCAGCATCATAGATCCCAGAGAGTAAAAACAGAAAGCACAAGACTTGATTTTGGCGCCGGAAGGATCGCCTTGCCCCTGAGTGCGCACGCCTCAGAAAGCTTGATCGTCCACCAGGCAGGAACACGCCCAGCACATTTGGTGGGAGTGGCTGGGCCTTGCAAATCAGAGGTTCATTGCATGAATTGGAGTTTGATGTCTGACTGCGTCTCAAAACTTCTGCCCTTTCTTAACCCTACTTGAAGAAGCCGATGGGATATTTTATGCTTTCAGAATCCTCTGAAATTGATAGTACAACAAGAACCAGGACAAAGCCTCATGTGCACGAGCTCCAAAGGCATGATGTGCATCAGAATGCTTCTGAATATGATTTAGATTGGCCATGCATGTGAACATGGGCCCTGTTTGCATGGATTGAATTCATTGATTTCCCCAAACCTCATCCCCTTCCCTTTCTGAGCTTGACCGGCTCTCTTTCCGGCTCATACATTGAACATTGCTTGGATTGAGAAGTTTATTCTTTGCTTTGACGCCACAGCAAGCAGCCAATCACTTGAATACTCTCCGTAAGAGACTACTCTTGTCAAACTCTAAATCAATGTGTTAGTCTCTCCTTACGCCTGGTTTGCATGAACACTTGCATGTGGCGTAAGTAGCTGGAGATGTCATGTGTTCAACTGGCGAACAGGACACGTCTAGCATCTGAATACAACATAAATAATGTGCTTGGGATATTTCATCCTATCATCTAGCTGGTTTGAACGGATTGCATCCTTTTTTGGGCTCCTGCGACCTACCCACACACACACACACGCACACGATATTATTGTTCCTGCTCACTTGTTTTTTTTCTTCGCAGAAATACTAGTGCCTGAACTTTCAACTCATGACTTTTCGTCGTCCACGTGAATGCTATCGACAAGCGTACTGGTATCTCAAACATGTGCCTCGTTATTGTCGATGCTTCGCGCTGCCCGCCTCGGCCAGTATTCTTTGGGTTGGCTTCGAGGTACTGTGTTTTGGTCTGTCGCTCTCGAGGGGCTGGAGCGAGAGCTGCCAAGAGCAAGGGGCTGGGGCTTTCAGGAAGGCTGCAGCAAGGGCGATGAGCAAGTCCAAAGGACAAGAAGTTGGGGCTACGTGCAGGGGTGTTGCTTCATGGGAACTCGAGGCAGCTGGATCAAGGGCTGAACCCTGGATTCGGGCTTCAGCACCTTCTTTTAACTTTGTTATTCTCATATTATGTTTCTCCGAGAAAGGACCAGGACGTTCTGGGTCCATTACCTGGACACCCCTTGCATGTCGAGAAATAGATGCAAGCGATTGTCTGCGGTCCTTGCCCCTGCATTGGTCCACAATGACCAGGTTCTTTCTGGCGAAAAGGGAGATGTCATCAGATGGAGAGCTTTTCCCGAAGCCATTGCAGCCACATGGGATATTCCGAGGCAACAACCGCCAAGTTGCCGCCATTCTGTGATGGACGTGTTAGCTGGTTTCAATATGGGGGGCTTGTTGGTGGGAGGTTGAGTGGGTTAAAATTACGTGGGTAGAAGCAACGAAGTGGGGACCGTTTCTCAACAGCAAAGCCCTCTAAGCCGCGAGTTGTTGGACTGTGGTAAGCGCAGGTCAGGCGACTTCCACAGATCAGCCAACTCAAGCTCAACAGCTCAAGAGAGTTGTCATGAAGCGTCAGTCTCACAAGCACCATGCTCGAAGAACCTCACGGATCGATCCAACGCGCGCACTGCAAAGAAACATGGTCCCCCTTTCGATGGGCTTTGCGCTATATAGTGTCGAACCAACTGCAACACTCAAGGCGCGTCACATGCTTCACAACAAGAAAGGTTCATCGAACAATACGAACTTTCCTGATTGCATGATGACCTATTTTTAACCGCTGGATGAAAACAGCAGCGACGTATGAGACTTTGCCTCAAGAAAAAGTTGCGTTCCTAGACGGCACGATGAACGTTCGCAACTACAAGGTCTCCTCTTCAGAGCGTACCAAGCACCTGAGCAATGAGATGCTCATGAACGGAAGAAGAGACTCACATTGGCACCTTCCTCTCATGGTCAGCATCAAGAAAAATTACGAAAGCTCCAAAACACCGAGAGTGCCAAGGAGAACGAACGGCAGAACACAGTACTTCTCAGGACGGTGAACAAGCATGGCGCCGGATTGGTCAAGCTCTCACAGGAACTTGCCGCAACAAGGCAACTGGTACAACTACCAAACAAAGCCAACGATGGTCGCGATTTTTTACTCTCTCCCTTTCCACAACTGTCGGTCACAGTCCTCGCTGAGCAGGGGCCGCAGTCAGACCCCAACATTTGTACTGAGCGCAAGACTGGCTCGCACGGAACCAGGAAGAAACATGTGTCCGCCGCAGTCAAACCAAGAAATCAACGACGGCGCGCCCTGCCCTCTCACTGACCATCGAAGTGGGTTTCTGAAGCGTGTCAAGCATGTCCCGGATCTCCAAGCCCCATCAAGCTTCTTCTTGCGACCATGAAAAAGCAGAGCCTTTTTCAGGGAAGCAACCGCTGGCTCCAAGGACAAGGGGGGGTGGACAGCAAGGCGCAACTTCATTTTCATTTTTGTCCACGCTTTTTTGAAGCGCGCCACCCGCGCCGTCGCGGCAACCTCCGCTGGTGAGACCCCAGCCACGGCGGTCCCTTCGAAGTGTTTCTGGAGCACCTCCTTGTCATCTCCTTTGATGGGGTTCTCGGAAGCAATCTTGACGAGGGAAGCCCACGCACGTGCGTGGGGCCAAACTCATCAAGTTTCTTCTGATTCCCGTTGGCTTCCTTCACAATTTCCGCGTCCATCTCAGCCGTTGCGTACTGCTCTTTCTTGGGAATGCCCAGAACTGTTTCTCGGCCACCGGCGCCCTACCCATCCTGGCCTTTGGACTTGGGACAAAAGGGCTCTGTTGTTCCCCTCAGCAATATTGCACAGATAGTGATTGAACTTGAAAGCGGCGCAGCCGCAGGCATGACGATGTATTCAACAACTGTTGTCACCTCAGCTAACACATTTCCTTTGATACCTCATGGATTAAGACGAACTATTTGTCATGGGCTACACCACACTGCTGAAGGGGCACACACAGCGTCTCTTCTTGCACAAGAATTAGCTGTCCACGAATCAGAGCAGGTTTCAAGTCAAAAGAGCACAGATCTCTTTTCACGACATAGCTCTGGCAACATCCATGGCTACGGTACAATAGCATTCAGTAACTCAATGCTGAACGCAATGAATTTTGTGTCTGTTTTGTTTTTGTTTGCGTTGCACTTGACCTTCACGCAATCCCATTTTGACTCAAGGGCCGTTCTTTCTGATTCTCACATGCCACCTGCACAGGGGAGGGAGGATTTGGCAAGATCCTGATGATGTAAGAGGGGATCTCCAGGAATAGGATCACCAAAGCGGCCTTCAGTGTCGGCCAGTTGTGCCTGGGCGTGTCATCAAAATTTGTGTTTTGCAGCAAGTTTGGCCAAGCTTGGCAAATCCGAGTGTGAAGGCATTGCCGCCCTTTTATGTTCGATCATGTTCGTGCCTCCAGCTAAGTGCTGATGGAGGTGTGGTTCAGCTTGCGTCCTTTCCAGTGATGCTGCAGGTGTTGCTGGATCGAATCTTTAGGTTTAATGTCAGCGCACGATTAGTAACCCCCTCCCCCGATTAAAGATTTCCCCTTTTCCCTCCCAGATTCCCATTAATTCTAAAGCAAAGGGTCAACCAGGTTTGCCCAAAAAAACCCTACAAGTTGTTTGTGTCTCCTCAAAACCGCCCTGAATAAAGGCATCCCCCTGACGCCCCGAAGCCAAAACAACCTGCCAGAAAAGGGGCTTTTATTGTTTCTTAGTATTTGCTTAGCCTGTCCGTAAACCCACCAATACCAAGCTAAGTCACTATCGAACTCCTCAAGTTTCCCCCTCCTCCAAAATGCATTTGTCTTTCTTAAAGGTTGCCGCAAAGGAGGCCAGCCCCGCCCTCATTAACAGGAAGCCCCCGCGATTAATCCGGGCCCTTTTGGGCACTTTTGGGCTCAAAACGAAAAAACAGCTGTTGCCTTTTAAAGTCCTGTTGCCCAGAAGGGGCCAGAAGTAAGAGGACGAGGACCGAAGGGGTTCCATATTGATCAGGGGGGTCCTCCAAAAATCTCAGTTTTGGGGACTTGTCCAAACCTGGAGGGAGGGGGGGGGTTACTAATCACCTGTAGTTTTAACCATTACCCAATTCTACAAGAAGAGTCGGGTGGCCACACACACACACACGCCACGCACACACACACACACCACGCACACGGAGTTTTGTCATACATGCTTTGTCTCTTCCAGCGTCGTGTGGAAGCATGGCAGGTGAAGGAAATTAGCCAGCGTGTTGCCAGTGTGCTGGACGGCGGTGGGCTCATGGGCAAAACTCTGACAGACAGAATCCGGGAGCGGCGGAATTCGCAGCATTCATCGGGATCCCAATCCCAAAGCAACTCGGCAGCATTCAGTGGTCAGACCTGTTCAAACGCGATGCACTGCGATATACATATATATATATGTATATATGTAATATATACATATATATATGTATTACTTGGCTGCGGTCGCCGATTTGCGTTATCAAGAGAATCCGCATGCCATATGTCAGAAATTATGTGAATACATGACAATGATGAGGGACGGGCTGACAGGCTTGACGGGCGCTTGCTCTGACAAAATGTTATGGCGCGAAGGAGCAGGAGATTTCCTGTCGATGTGCTATTTTGGAATGTACTGTAGTATGGAAAACATGTTGTCACGAGACAGGGCACGAACTTGGTTGAAATGCAGTCTTTTGCCAGGATACATTTGCGGCGGCGAGGGTGATGCAATTATCGCAGAGGATTGCTTGTGCACTCAATTAGACATGCGGCATGCGCAAAATGCAGCAGCAGGAGCGAATAGACAAACCCATTTAAGCGGAGGTCTCGCAATGGCCTTGCAAGTGTGCATGATGCTGGTGCAGGAGCAAGCTGATCCGCAATGTTTACGTTTGGCCATATTGACTGAAATAGTTTTACCCTGCAGCGGAGTCCAAGAAAGACTTCAACTGTGTGGGCAAACAGGACCTTGCTTACTGTGTGTGTGGTGTGTGTTTGAAGTCCTATGGGGCCTGTTAAGACTTTATGCGTATTTAGTATGTGTGTGCGATACATAAATCATACGAGAGGTGCTCTTGACAAGCATTGCGCAAATACATTGACAATGACACTGTAGCAGTAAAGCCAGCGAAGCCGGCAGGCAGAAGTTTTCAAGATAGTGCACAGCTATGGGGTGGGGACCGGGCAAGCAGGCAATGGAGGCCGCGCCAGTTGTGTGGTTGATGCGCATGTCATCCTTCCAGAAAGCAATAAGCAAGTGGTTCCACAAAAGCATTTAGAGCACTAGAGAACCAAAACCACCCACAATTACGTTCATGGGCACAGCCACGTTGGTGATGACCCCATACCACTGCACTGGCTGTTGTTTGTGAGGCAAGCGTCCTGCTCAACTCGACTGGTTGTCGCCACGCTCCGATCTGGTGTCTTGCCTGAAACAAAGTAACGTTCCCTTGCTTCTTGTCAAGTTGCCAAAGACTTACCACTCATGCGAGTTTCATTTGTGACTTTGCTTCAGGGCAACGTTGATTGAAGAGAGGCCATGTAAGATCCGAAAGAAACAGACTTGGGTTAAACGCATCCATGATATGAGGATTCGGGACTCCATGCACAACCACTTGTGTGCGCGTGAATTGCTCGTAATCTCAATGACCGTCATGGAATGCTCTTGAGTGAGACCAAGCCGTGAGGATTTCAAGACGCAAATTAATCTTTGCTAATTGTTCATCGTGGATGGGCAACGCTCAGGCATTGCTTTGAATTAGGTTTGCACTTGCATTCTGCTTTGGACATCTTCTCAAGATCAGAGAGTGATCAATGTCCGGTATTTGGGAATCTTGTGCCATCAGGAAGAGAGCCGCAGTTTGGACATCTTGCCGGAGTTTGGGCCTATACCGTCCATGGACAGCAGCCTATTCCAAACTGGAGCCAGCGTTCCAGAAGAGGGCGTGTGTGCTGACGCTACCTCCTTGCAGGGATTGGATGATGAGACTCCAGGCGCTCTGGGAGCCCTTTTCATGGAGGAGCAACTTGAACGCCATAGATTCTGACGATTCTAGAGTCCACCAAGTGGATATCCGGTGAAGCACTTCGTTGTAATCGGCATTGGCCAATCCCAACGACCGTCAGTTCCGGCAAGTGCCGTTCACCGGTCGTTGACACTTGTCTCCCTTCCAGAGAGCGGGCGAGCGGGCACGCGAGCGGTCATTCTGACCTTAACTTGTTTCCTCACTTGTTTCATGTTTGTCATTTGAATCTCTGTTTTCGCTACAGTATGAATGACCTGACTGTGCCGTCATCCCTGAGTTATTTTTGCCCAGAGGCGAACCTTTCGAGCGAAGCTCCCAAGGTTCTGTGCTCGGGAAGGAAGGGCACCTCCGGATCGCGTCCGGAGATGCGTTGCAGTAGCCCTGACAGAAACGGCAGCCGGGGGCCGTGTATCGGGCCACAGGCAGAGTTCATAGAGCGCTGGCTTGAGTTGTCGTATCTTGCCAACAGCATGTGGCAGTGCCCGACGTCCGAACAGGAACGCACATTGGAGAGTGCAGGTCAAACCTCTCTCTCCCAGAAATCGAATTGCACGTAGATCCACTGTGTTTTTCTTCGATCGCTTGAGCATTCTTCCGGAACTCCAAGTCCACAAGGCGTGGAAGAATGTCTACAAAGACTAGAGGCTGTGGAAGGGCCAACAGGAGTTGTTGAGAGTTTGTAAGAAAACTGAGAAAATCTTGCAAAAGTGAGCTGTTTAGAGATACAGTGGTGCACTCAGATACAGATCGCCGCCTGATTCTGGAGATGCGTGCGCAACACTCTAGATTATAAGTGAAGACTGGCCGAGCTTCCCAATTTCGCTCTTCCATCCAAGAGCAAGCCCACAGATAGTCGGGTTGTCAACACTATAGGCAAATGCTGAAACTCTCAACCAATCAATGCATTTGTGTAATACGGATACACGTATAGTAAGGGGATTCAAGAAGGTGGCATTGAAGGACAAACAACATCTCACTTTAATCGAGGGTACAGTTGTTCCAATGAGTGTCCGGAAAGTGTTCTGCAAAGCGCTGAAGCCCGTGGTTTGCAACAGACAGCCGTGGTACACAGAAAAGGCAGCCAAGCAGCTTGTCGGGATGGCAGCACTTGCCGGAAGGCCTAGCCATTTGGGGTTTCCATTCTGTATGTCCAAGCAATCCAATGATCAGCTTTGATTCCCCACAACCTGTTTGAAATTGCCAGTTGCATCAAACATTGCCTCTTTAGCACTTGGCCAACCATGTCACGGCAGGCATTGTGACTTTGCGCGTTTGTACATACCGGTCAACACACATTGTTTGCCTGCGCGAATGGTGTTGCTGTGTTTGCAGTCTCATTGCTTGTTGCATGGGAAGCAGGAAGCACAGGACATAGATGTACTGGTGTGCCCTTCAGGTATATGACCTACACGTTTACTTTCCCATCTCCTATTTGGGAAGAATTGCAAGCATTCTTGCGATCTCATTGCAACTCGGCCATACAGCGTCCGTGCTGATGGGCACTAACGTGACACTAACCGGAAATCAACAGGACACAGGCCAGGAGGTGTCCCTGGTTGGACCCGCGAGGTGTGAGCAGGAGCTTATGGAAGGATTCGTCAAATCGCAAAGCAGTGTTGAGACTTCGTATGGGGACCAACTCTTTGTGCCGCGACAGGCCAGCAGGTGAAGTTTCAAGGAGGGGACATCGTCTCAGGATTGCTTTAGGTCATTTCATCCTAGATCACTCCCCTTTATACCTTGTGACCTGCTTTGCTGCATTTGGGCCACCAAGGAACTCTCCGAAGCTTTGCAGGAAGTCTTCCAGCAGACCCTTGCACCTTGGCAACGGTTGTGTCGCCAATGCATTTGTCACACAGATGAACGCTCCTTGTGACGGCCTTCCCTCCACCTTTGCCTCTTGCTTTTTTGACGGCTCATTAACTTCCGTAGAATCGGAGCAAGAACAAAGACTCAGGGGAGAAGACGGTGAAACGTTCGAGTCAGTGAATGATCAATGATGGCTTCGTTGGGAAATTTCCCAGTTATGAACGTGGAACATCGCAAAGAACGGCGTGCTTCGAACAAACCACAGCACAGTTGCTACGCAAGCGCGGGGACAACCCCGACCCCCCCAAACAAGCTAAGGTCTAGAAGGCAAGCCTGATGACATGGGTTGACAAAATGGTGATCCTTTTCTGAGGCATTCTGCGACTGCCTAGCATTGGGAGGCTCGAGCCACAACGCTTGGCATGAACTGGCTTTTGCCATTTGACCGCTGACAAATCGCTGCCACTGCCACAAAATCTGCGCAGCACTAACACACTCTGCACGTTGTTCAACCAGCTTTGCTGCCCAGCAGCCGAAAGTGCGCCGGGAGTTCACGCAATCCAACATGTGCGTAGTTCCTTCACTGTGTCATCGGTTCACAGTGCCTTACTTGGCTATGCCTTACTTCGCTGTGGGATGACTTGACTATGTACTTGCTTTGCCACATCACTACTTGGCTATGCCCTTGCTTTGCTGTTGTTGCTTGGCTATTTTTAGCCGCCTGTATCATTGCTTGCCTATTTCCTTACTCTGCCGTGTCATTGCTTGGCTACGTCTCAACTTTGCTTTTTCATGACTTGGCTATGTCCTTACTTCGCTGTCATGACATACATATATATATATATATGTATATGTAGAGGCTATCCCCCCAAAACATTGTTTTCAACAGTCTTCCGATGGATTGGTGCCAGTGTGGAATTCCGGAGCAGAGTTTGTCATGAAAAGACGGGCCCTCAACTAGAATGTGTTTGACGCATCTGTTGCAAGCACAGATGGGCAGCGCCAAAAACCCTTGTGAAAGGAGCGAATTGAGGGCCTCTCCTAACGAAGCCTCGCGAAAGCTAAAACGCAGAGCGCGAAAGCGTTGCTGTTGTTCGCGAAAGCTCCGCGAAAGTGAACATTACAAAGCACATGCCCGCGAAAGTGAAACGTGGGGCCGCGAAAGCATCGCGAAAGGTTCCAGGGTTTGTGTACTATTTTCGACACCGCGCAGCTGGAAACAGTGAAGACCCAAAGCCTTGACAGTGCATTGCTTGAAGTCTAAACTATCTACAATGACATTTACGAAAAGTATGGGAAGAAACCAACTGTTTTAGGGGACAACATTTACTCTGGATATGCACAACAAAATTAGCAATAGGGGCATTACTGAAATCTTGGAACTTCAGGTATGCAAAATATACTGGAATTGCACCAGATGTAGAAATCACAAGTAGTACGTATCCTACACGATATCTTGTAGGGGACAAATATTGCTAGGTAAACGAGCAGTTGCAGAAGGCGCGTTTGCTGAAGTGTTCTTTTCTGCTAGTATAAAATAACTTACGATGGACTACTCAACAATTTGGAAGAGAAGGAGATAGGTAAATATAGTTCTGCAGAGTATGTGTTCAGGCAAAATCAGGTCATGCAACTGAGTCAAAAGTATTGAGTGTAGTTTCCTTATAGCTAAAGCTACAACATTTAGCAGAATAACAATTACATATGCGTTCAACTGAACCGTTCACCTTTCAATGAAACAAGCAACAGAAGGTAGATCTCAAGTAGGTGGACAAAGACGTGGCAAAATGCACAGATACTGTATTGTCGCATATCGGGCTTCGGACTTACTTCTAGAAAGACTTAATACAGACTTTAGCGAAGTCTTAGTTTGTTTATACTGTGGTGAACTAATCAATTTAGAATATGATAAAGCATTTTGTATTTTTCCCAGTAAAAGTAAAAAGTAAAAGTCCCAAGAGTAAAACATGTTTTTACTACAGGCAGTTTTACTGTTTTACTTTTCTCCTGTAAAAGTGCACGAGTCAAACTCCCAAAATCAGAACTGTTTTTTTGCCCGTTTATTTCGGGTAGTTTTACTTGTTACTTTCATGGGTCCAACCGTTTTACTTGTTGCTTTTTTACTTTTGACACTACTTCAGGAAACTTTACCTGTTCACTTTCTCCAGTAAAGCAAAGAGTAGAAAGTAACACTTCTGGACTCACGAAAAGTAAAACATAAAGCTGCCCAAAGTAAAATTGTGTACTATTGGGAGTTGTACTGTTGCTCTTCCTTGGGAAGAATAGAAAAGTAAAGCTTGCTGAAGAAAGGCAGGCTTTACTTTTTGGAGTTTTGCTTTTACTTTTCATGGGAAAGTTTACCTTTGACTTTTTGACTTTGTCTCAGAACAAGTACACAGGTAAGTACACAAGTTGTTGTTTTGGGACTTTTACATTTTACTTTTTACGTTTACTGGGGAAAAGTAAACTATAAGACTGCCTGAAGAAAACAGCAAGGTTTACTTTTGGGAGTTTTACATTTTACTTTTCATGGGTCTAAACGTTTACTTTTTACGTTTGTGCGTTCACTGGGAAAGGTGAAACAAGGTAAACTTCCAGAAGCAAAAGGGGGACAATGACAAGTGCCAAACATGAAATGATTCGAGTGTGTTCTTTGATGTGTTTGGATTATGCAGGTAATTCTGTCATTGTTCACCTGCCAGAAGTGAAAAAGTATACATCTGTGCAGGGTTTTGGGGTCATGTTGCCACTGTTTTAGGTCTACCTATTTTTGGTACCATGTGTGTCTTTTAAGGTGTGCAAGTTTTGGTCAAACATTCAAATTCGACCTGTCCAAATCATACCCCCAAACCATACCACAAAACAACAACAACAACAACAACAACAACAACAACAACAACAACAACAACAACAACAACAACAACAACAACAACAACAGCAGCAACAACAACAACAACAACAACAACAACAACAACAACAACAACAACAACAACAACAACAACAACACAACAACAACAACAACAACAACAACAACAACAACAACAACAACAACAACAACAACAACAACAACAACAACAACAACAACAACAACAACAACAACAACAACAACAACAACAACAACAACAACAACAACAACAACAACAACAACAACAACAACAACAACAACAACAACAACAACAACAACAACAACAACAACAACAACAACAACAACAACAACAACAACAACAACAACAACAACAACAACAACAACAACAACAACAACAACAACAACAACAACAACAACAACAACAACAACAACAACAACAACACCAACACAACAACAACAACAACAACAACAACAACAACAACAACAACAACAACAACAACAACAACAACA